TTAATGAATCAGTGCCTTTCACAGTAGTTACCTAATATCTCCCACTCTGCCTGGTGCCCTCTTTCTAACTTTCCTGGTTCCAATGCTCATGTGCCCATATAGGGGAGACAGATGAAGCACTTTCCGTTGGGCATCCTGGGAGTGATGTTCTATGGAAAATGCTAGAATTCTGATATGATGAGGTTGCACTTATTTATGACTCGGCACTGGGCTGGGTGTGGAGAGCACAGCAAGACAGACGTGCTGGAGCTGAGAGAGTCGAGTGTTGCAGAGGATTCGATAGGAGCTCTTTTATTTTTTTATTTTTTAAAAAGATTTTATTGGGGAATTGGGGGAGGGGAACAGCCAAGTTGTTGTCCTTCATTCTTAGTTGTGGAGGGCACAGCAAGCTCAGCTCCAAGTCCAGTCATGCCGTTCAGCTCAAGGTGCTGTGTTCACTTAGTTGCGGGTGGGCATAGCCACCATCCCATGTGGGAGTCAAACCAGCAGCCTTGTTGTGAAGAGTGCATACTCCATCTACTGAGCCATCCAGGTGGCAGCTCATCTCAAGGTGCTGAGCTCAGTCTTAGTTACGAGTGGGCATAGCCCACCATCTTGAACAGGCAATCTTGTTGTTAGGAGCACATGCTCTCATCAGCTGACCCATCCTGCCACCTTTTGGCAGCTGAACTCGGGTGCAGCTCACTGGCCCATGTAAGAATCAAAACGGTGACCCTGTTGCTCAGAGCTCGTACTCTTGAGCAAGCTCTTCACCAACTGAGCCACTCAGCTGTCTCCCGATAAGAGCTCTTTAACAGACCCAGATCTACAAGTTGTTCTGACATCTGTGTCAGTAAAATTTATCTTTAACAAGATCCTTTTAAGTAAACTGATAGCTCTTTGTTCTGTATAACTATAGAAGAGGACTCAGAGGGTGTTGAGGGCATGGATGGGGAGACCACTGAAATAATAGTTTGGGGAAGAGCACAAACTCTTTGAGAATCAGTCCCAATCCAGAAGCCGGGTTCAATGGAACACTGGACTGGATTCTAGAAAGTTCAGAATCTCTATTCAAGAAAAAAACTTCCCTTTTGCTTTCTTTGGAATGAGGTTTTTTTCTCTTATATGACTGTGGCTTTAGTGAAATATCTTAAGATGTACCATATTTCCCCATGTATAAGATGCACCGTTTTTTGAAAAATTTGGGATCTAAAGGGCCGGCCGAGTGGCGCGATGGTTAAGAACTCGCTTGGGATGCCAGAGGGCCCCGGTTCGGATCCCACATATGAGGGCCAGTGACACTGCCCTCCACAGCTAAGATGCTGAACAACAGCTCAACCTGGAGCTGGGCTGCCATGAGTCGCCGGCGACGGCGTGGGCTGCAGTCCCTGTGGCAGTGGATTGCCATGGGCTACCGTGTGTGGCCAGCAGCTACTGTGTGTGGCCAGCAGCCAGCGTGAGCGGCCAGCAGCCAGCGTGAGCGGCCAGCAGCCGCAGTGAGCGGCCGTCCAGAAGCAGGCGACTGATCTGCCTCGCCAGAGAAGAGCGCAATGATGGTGCCAACTTGGGCCAGTGAAGCAACATTCTCCACAACTAGATTGAGGAACAAAACGACAGCAACTTGTCTGTTCCCCTTTCCCCAATTCCCCAGCGCTGTTCCCATCCCCCCAATTCCCCAATAAAAATCTTAAAAAAAAAAATTTGGGATCTAAAAACTGGGTGCATCTTATACAGTGGTTGTAGATTTTTTTACTTGCATTTCCCGCTTTTTTGTGCTTGTTGTCTTTGCGCTCATTGTTTCGCACTTGTTACTGGTATATTAGGTTACATTTTGCAATGTTCTGCCCAGAAATGGCTCAGAAAAGATTTTTTTTTAAGATTTTTATTAGGGAATTGGGGGGATGGGAACAGTGCTGGGGAGTTGGGGAAGGGGAACAGACAAGTTGCTGTCGTTCTGTTCTTCAGTCTAGTTGTGGAGGACATTGCCCCACTGGCCCAAGTTGGCACCATCTTTGCGCTCTTCCCGGGTGATGCAGATCAGTCGCCGGCTTCTGGACGGCCGCTCACTGCGGCTACTGGCCGCTCACGCTGGCTGCTGGCCACACACGGTAGCCCATGGCAACCCACTGCCACAGGGGCTGCAGCCTACGCCGTCACCACAACTCATGACAGTCCAGCTCCAGGTTGAGCTGTTGTTCAGCATCTTAGCTGCAGAGGGCAGTGTCACTGGCCCTCACATGTGGGATCCGAACCGGGGCCCTCTGGCATCCCAAGCCAGCTCCTAACCATCGCGCCACTCGGCCGGCCCTCAGAAAAGATTTTAATACCATGCTGAATTCAAGTTAAAAGTGATCCAGTTTGCAAAAGTGAATGGAAATCGTGCTGCTGAACGTAAGTTTGGTCCTCCTCCAACTGAGAAAACAATCCAAGATTGGCTATGGTTGGGAGTTTTGACAGTGATGAGGAGTTGTATGAATTTTATGATGAATAAAACTTGAGTTCAATAACTTTATGTAATACATTTTTTTTCAAATTTTGGGCCCCAAAATTAAGGTGCGTCTTATACATGGGAGCATGTTATACATGGGGAAATACGGTAACTCTTTTGTGCTTGAATAAAGGAATATGCTGATTTGCTGAAGGAAAAGAAGGGGTTTATACTGCCACGTCTGTAAGGGTGGTTGAGCTTCTGAACTTTTTACAGTTGATCTACGTGCAGGATGAGGAAGAGAACATTGCTATTCATTTCCCTGTCAGCAAACAGCTTCCAGGCCAGGATGAGAACCAGTCTGAAAAGGTGTTTGCCATACAAGAAGAAATTTCCTTACCCTATTCCGTTCCTTGGAAGAGAGTCCTCAGAGCCAGAAAGACTTCTCACCACCCACTGATGATGAGGTCAGTTGAAGGTCTTTCATATTTACTTATTGCCGCCCCTTTTTTCTCTGTTGATTTTTTTTTTAACCTTGGAGCGAAAGCATTGTATTATTCACCATTGTAGCAAATGCATATTAAAGGAAGACCTCTTCTCCATGTTGACATCATCTTCTCTTCACATCACTTTTACATGTTTGGGGTGAGATTTTGTTGCTTTTATTGTAGTTTTTATGTCAGAGACCCAGGGAAGCCTAAATCCTGCCTTGCCAATCATCCCAAATCCTGGGAGCTCCTCAGGAAACAATGTGCTCAAGGAACAATAGCAAATTCTGAGCCAAAGTACCACTTTGTTAGTCTGCATTACACCCAATAACCTACACCATGGACTCACTGGTAAAAAGTGGGCTGGAAAACAGTCTATGCCTGTCTTGCTTCCCTCTCTCAACCCTAGATCTGAATTGAGGACCTGAGTGTTCAGGCATGATGTGGAGGTGGGGGTGACTGGACCCCAAGTGAGGACTCGACCAGACATGAATAGAAGGGGACTAATCAGGGCCAGGCTGGAAGGAAGGGAGCTTCACCCCTGGATGCTGACCCTTCAGGGCACACTGCCCTTTGTCAGAGACGGGCCACTGAACTCCTTGGGCTCTGACCAACCAGCTTTGTAACTCTTCTTCCTTGGAGGGGGATGGGGAGATGTAAAAGGTATTGGTTGAAGCAAAATCATGGGGGAGAAAGGCCATGTTCTTTCTTCAGTGTTTTCCATAATTGTCATCATAGTCTATAGCAGGATACTTTTACTGAGTCATTATTTTAAATCAGGCACTGTGATGGTGTTTTCTGAGGATGAGTTCATTAAGATGAACAGGACCTTTTATACAATTTAAAAAGGACTCAAAATTCTGTTTGGCATAGAATTGGGGTGAACATGAATCATGCAAAGCAGAATATGAAAAGGGTTGTAATGGAATTTGAGTTAAACAGAGTTCCAGAGGAGGGAAATTCTTTTGGCTGGGAAGACTTGGGGTGGCCTTATGAAGGGCATGCTATTTTCTCTGTGCCTTGAAGGACAACTAGAATTTTGATAAGAGGTAGGCAAGATGGGCCTGCTGGAACAGCATGAACAGGGACTAAAAAAGCATGGTGTGTTGGCTGGGATGGTGAATTTCAAATGGCCTAGAGTCAAATGGCTAGTAATTGGAGGGGCCAGGACTAGAAGCCAGTTGTTGCGACTTTCTGTGTAATGCTCTTTCCAGCTCTGTTACACTTTTTGCAGCCTAGAATATTACTCTGTTGGGCAGAAAGCCACACACAATTTCTCCAGCCATAAACTCATCTTCATGAAGCTTTTCTTTTCCTCTTTGTCTCCTTCTCCAGATCAACTTGTAGAGAAACACATACATAAGAATTATGATGGCCCATTCCCTTTATGTTCTTCTTACCCAGAGAAGCAACTCTAAGTCTAGCCCCTCTTCTCTCTTTAACATATGGATGGCAGACCTTTCTCCCCTAAGAAAAAAAACAGAACACATAAGTAGAACAGAGTGGGGTCTGCTTAGATGCTTGATGAGACAGTCACTACAGACATTCCTGATACAAGTGTCTAGAGCTATGGAACTCCACCCAGCAGAGTCCAAGGCCAAGAGTGGGACAGCTCCAAAGATGATGATCAACCTGTCCCCAGAGTTAGGTTCAACCCAGAATGTGGGGATGGGGGTTGAGAAAGTCGGGGTGGACTGGAGGAGTTTAGAAATTGGGATGGATGAAGATTAAGTATTTGAGGAACATGGAGGTGAGTGAGGGCTTTCAGAAGGCATCCCTTTGGCAAAGGCATCAGCACAGGTCACAGAGTTCTGTGAGTTCACCTTTTTCAGAGCCTTTTCAACCCTCTCCAGAAAGTCTTCAGATAAAGCTAATTTGTATCTGTTTATGTGGTTTTGTCTTTAGGGGAGAGATTATCCCCCTCTCTGTAACCTGGACAGTGTTTAGGTGCCAAGAAATGTTGGATTTTCAAATTACTTATAGGGCCATGACCACGGTGATAACCCAGGATAATGAGGTTTGTGTTCCTCCTGCCCTTTGTATGTGCAACCTGTCCCCGGGGCTCATCCTCTTCCCAGCACAAGGCCATGAGGGGCAACTCTGCTGTCACCGCCCGCAGGATAAAGCCTTCACACCAAACAGTTTTCTTAGAGCTCCCTTCATGTCCTTATTTCTCAGGCAGTAGATGAAGGGGTTCAGTGTGGGGGTGACCACCATATACATCACTGAAGCCAGTGAATCTTTGTCAGCTGAGTGGGAGGATGAGGGATTCAGGTAGACCCCTGTGATGGTCCCATAGAAGAGGATGACTACAATGAAATGGGAGCCACAGGTGGAAAAAGCCTTCTGTTTGCCACGGGCAGATGGGACCTTGAGTACAGCAGATACAATGTGGATGTAAGAGACAAGAATGCCAAGGAACGGGATGAGGACGATCAAGCCCCCCACCAGGAGAATCATGAGTTGGTTGAGTTGGGTGCTGGAACAGGAGAGCTGAAGCAGAGGAACAATGTCACAAAAGAAGTAAGGAATGGTGTTGCTGGCACAGAACTCCAGCCGAGCCATGAGGAGGGTGTGTAGCAGGGAGTGGGAGCTGGCGATGAGCCAGGAGCACCCCAGCACCAGAGCGCAGACTCGCAAACTCATCATAGTAGAGTAGTGCAGGGGGTGGCAGATGGCCACATAGCGATCATAAGCCATTGCTGTCAGGAGGAAGCTGTCCATGTTGGCAAGCAAAATGCAGAAGTAGATCTGGGTTAGACAGCCGCCATAGGAGATGGACTGAGTCTGCACCTGGATGTTCACAAGCATCTTGGGGACTGTGGCGGAGATGAAGCAGAAGTCCACCAGGGAGAGGTTGCTGAGGAAGAAGTACATGGGTGTGTGGAAGTGTGAGTCTGAGCCCACGGCCAGGATGATGAGCCAGTTCCCTGCTGCCCCAATCAGGTACATAACCAGGAAGAGCCCAAAGATCAGCTCCTGTTTCTCGGGCTGGCTGGAGAGTCCGAGGAGGAGGAACTCAGAGGTGCTCGTGTGGTTTCCTCTCTCCATGGTCGACTGGTCCTGCTGGGAGATCAAGACCAGGCCCAGGCTATCGAGAGGGTGGAGGCGTCCACGCCTCCCACCTTCCCTCACACAGCCCCTCAACTCACATCAGGCCACATCTCTGTGTTCATTTGGTACAAATCCCAAAGGATGCTCTCAATCTATCAGAGGAAAGTCCTATAGCTCTAACCCACCCCAAAGTCAGGGTTTTAATTATTTCACCACCAAAATGCTGCTGATCCTGAACCCACAAAACCCCATCTTGCATCCCTCTAAGGAGAATCCTTGTGACATATGGCCAGGTACTCAGTGGTGGCAACAACGGGGGATGCTTAGGGTGTTTTAGCCTTCCAAATTTCCATCATACTCTCATTCTTTGATATGAGCAATTGATGTTGTCTCAATATTAAGTGAAGAGTTGTAGAAATATAGTTTGTTTCTACTCCTGATAAGATTGCCACCTGAAGGCCCTTTCTCTACAGAATTCTGAAACCACCGTGGCACATATATATAGAACCGGGGAGATTATTTTTATCTACCTTCCTTCCCCTTGAATATTTTGTTTCCCCTTGTTCCTCCACCCACATAGAATTCAGGACTCAGGGTGTTCCGGCTGCCACATACCACTGACTCTGGGCCACCTTGGTCCTGGTGATAATGTTGTGGGATGGAGAAGGTCAGGGCAAACCTGGACAGAAGAGTCTGCTAGCGGGGACAGCTCAACCAGCCCTTCTGTCTGGGTTTACTAAGAAAGGGACTCACATCTGGAGGGTAAGAGTTGCCCCTGCAGATAACAAAGAGGAACCACAGGTATAACATTGCCCAAAGTAACATTGTCGGCAGCAGGGCAACATAGGGACTCTAGTAAATTGAATTTTAAAATAGTTCAGTGAAAGCTTAGTTGAAGTTTCATTAGATATAATATGAATTATTTTCCTCTTCTTCACAAGACATGGTTGAGATTTGGGTTCTATGAAAATATAAATCATAAAGAGGGAGGGAAGAAAGAAGGAACTGGAGTTAGTGTGCTGACTAGGCATGGGAGAATAGCTGATGGGGGAAATTGGCCTGGAAAAGCTGTGGGGGTGGGGGGATGGCCCACCTGGGAACTGGGCAGGGAGCAATAGGGGGACTCTGTCTTGGGAGCTGACTTTGCCCATGCTACCACTGTGCTAAGGTAGAGCCTGTTTGGAGCAAAGGAACTTTGGGTTATAGGAGGGATGGAAAGTTTGGCTATGCAGCAGATCCCAGTTGAGGTCTTTGCCTGTGTTAAAGGCTGCTCCTTAGTATGGAAGATAAATGGCTCATTTTGCATTAATGTTTTACTGATTTGATGTTTTTGAGGGTTCAAATAAGCGTTTGGCAATTCAGAGGTAGAAATTTGGGTAAAAAACAACCATAGATAGAAATGCAGGAGCCTAACAGGAGGGAAATCTATTTGGCGAAAAGTAAAAATGAAGGGAAACCTATTTAATATGGCTGAGATCTTCATTTGATCAGTTCTGATTAAAAGAGCTCTTTATTGGGTGATGCAAAAGGTAAGAAAACAATAAAGGACATTGTTCTCATTCCCAAGAAGCTTCTAGTCAAATATAAAACTTTCACATAGGAAACAGCCCTTAGACTAGGGAGCTGACATTTATTGAGCATCTACTGTGTGTCATATACAGGGCTAGGCAAGTGCATGTATTTAATTTAACCCTCACAATAACCTACATAAGATAGGCATTTTTATTCTCTTTTTAAAAAAAGATTTTTATTAAAACATAGCTAACATACAATATTATGTTAGTTTCAGGGGTACACCATAGTTATTGAACATTTTTAAACCTGAAGAAGTGATTACCATAAGTCCAGCAACCATCTGACACTGTACTATGCTATCATAATATTATTGACTATATTCCTTATGCTATACATTACATCCCCATGACTTATTTGTTTTATACCTAGAAATTTAGACCTCTTATTGCCCTTCACCTTTCCCTCCCTTTAATTTTTTAATTACAGTTGCCATTCAATATTATATTAACTTCAGATGTACAGCATAGTGGTTAGACATTTATATAATTTAAGAAGTGATCCCCCACAGCCAGCGTGAGTGGCTGGCAGTGGGCGAGAGCTGCCGTGAGCCTCTGTGAGCAGCTGACCAATGACCAGTTACCGATTGCCTCACCCAGGAAGAGCGCAATGATCATACCAACAAGGGCCAGTGAAGCAACGTCCTCCACAACTAGACTGAAGAACAAAACAGCAATTTGTCTACCTGTCTGTTCCCCTTCCCCAATTCTCCAACGCTGTTCCCCTTCCCCAATTCCCCAATAAAATCTTTAAAAAAAAACAAAAAAGAAGTGATCCCCCTGATTAGTCTAGTACCCACCTATCACTATACTTATTATCATATTATTGACTAAATTCCCTATGCTTTGTTTTACATCCTAATGATTATTTTGTATCTGCAAATTTGTATTTCTTAATCCCTTCCCCTTTTTCACCCACATCCCCAAGCCCCCTCCCATCTGGCAATCATCAAGATGCTTTCTGTACCTATGAGTTTGTTTCTGTTTTGTTCATAAATTTTGTTTTTTAGATTCCACATATAAGCAAAATCACATTGCATCTGTCTTTTTCTGTCTGACATTACACTCAGCACAGTACCCTCCAGGTCCATCCATGCTGCCACAGATGGCAAGAACCCACACCCTTCCATGGCTGAGCAATGTTCCATTATATACTGGGTGTGCCAAAAAAATGTATACACGTGACTTGTATTCATCTTTTGTTATTGGTATATATTATTACAATTTTAATACACTTTTTTTCTTTCTTAAAATGTGCATACATTTTTTTGGCATCCGCTGTATACAAGGTGTGCCAATCAAGCTCATGAACTCATTCTACAAAAAGTGCTATATACCTCATTGCTGAATATCACTATGCATTATTATTCTTATACATGAGTAAACTGAGACTGGGAGCATTTAAATAATTTCTCCAAAGACATCAGGATTTTATTCCAGGTTAGCCTGACTTCAAAGCAACACTGCTTTGACTGAAGAAGTGCATCTAGATAAATTTAACCCTGGGGCATCTGAGTAAATGGACCAGGGATTCCTGGAGTGGCCGATGTTGCAACAGGAGAAAGGGAATGTAGGTGGAGCAGGGGCATGGTGGAAGAGGACCTTCTTGTCTGAGGAGAGAGAACTGGTTTGTGTGGCTGCACATTCCTAGACTGACAAAAGCATGTGAACGGGAGTGGCACTGTGTGTAGTGACAAAAACTGTCCCTTCCTTGATTATATTCCTTTCAGATCAGGGTGACTCCATCTTCTCTTTTCCTTCCAATCTTCCCACTTCCCCTGAGATACGGGAGAAGAAAATTTTCTTGTTACTACTTCCCACTTGTTAGGAAAATACTCTTTCCAAGTCCTCCTATTTTGAGAAAAACAAAGCTAAAAGAGTCTAACTTAAAACTGAAAGGATTTCCCCCCTAGCTTCTGGATCATTCCTGCTAGCATGCAAACATCTCCCAATTTAAAAATTCTACCCTTCACCCAAACTCCCCTCTAGCTGTCAGCTCATTTCTCTACTTCCCCTTTCCACAAAAGTCCTCAAAATGCAGTCAGGTCTCAGTCTCCAATTCCCTTTTTCCCATTCTCTCATGAAGCCCCCCTTTCAGGCTTCCCCACCAAGCTATGAAACTTCCCTTGTCAAGGCTACACCTGAGGTTAGTTTTCAGGCTCCATCTTTCTAAAACCAACGAGCCAGAGTTGGCACAGTCGGGCACGCCCTCTTTCTTGAAACACGTTCTTCGCTTGGTTTTCGCAGCACAGTTTTATGTTGGCACCTCTCCTACCTCACTGGTTGCTCACTCTCGGTGTCCTTTGCTCATCCTCATTCTTCTGATCTCCAGTTGGTGGGATGCCTCATCAACTCTTTGAGCCAAGAGACCTTGAACCAAGAAAAAGTAGGTTTCAGACTCAGAACTCTCTACAGGTGGTAGTATCTAGCTAAAATTCAATAAGTGGTACTGCTTATGTATCGTGGTGTACAAAATTTTTAAATAGATGAATTTCAATGAACAAAGTTAATAAATTAAATAACAGTATTAAGGAAACAATTCCAGGTGGTAAGTAACATGATTGATGTTTGGGAGACACTAGGCTAATACCAGGTAAAGGAGAATGTAAAGTTGTCGACAGGAGTGAGGGAAATAACATAAACCTGAGTATTTCTCTGAAATAGTCCAGAGGGTTGAGAGAGAGCTCAAAAGGGAATCACTTTCTCACCAAGTGATTTGATGTTGTTTGTCTCCATTTCTTTAAAGCACCTAATGCCAACTTGTAGAGCCCCATAAGGCAGGCTCCACACCATGGGAAACACTGAGTAACCCATACATACCTGGACTCAGACACCTATTTGTTTAGGTCTGAATTCTGTTCCTGATCCTTGGGCAGCCAGCATACAGATTGACCTTATTTTCCTGCTTCAATGGCAGCAGTTCTGCATCTCTCTCTGATGACCACCACAGCTCTGGGGTTGTGTTGGAATAAATATTAGACCTGTTTCATAAAAGCCCAAGAGACAGAGAAAATGGTTGTCTTTGACTTTGGGCTCCTCATGTTTAATTTTCTCCTGTATTATTGCATAAATGATTGAGCCATAATTAACTCTGTTTAAATAATTTAGAAGGGGAAACAACAATTAAAATATAGATAATAAAACTAAAAATAGAACAAATGATATAGAAAAGAAAAATAATTAAGCAGAAATCTGATTAATTGATTCCTTGAAAAAAATTGGTAAACAATATTAATTTTGATAAACAAATGAGAATAAAATTAAAATGAAGTCAGGATTTGGAAAATACACTTAATAGCTAGTACAAAAGATTCACATTTAAGTTGAATATTTTCAATTATAAGCTAATACATTTTATCAAATAAAATAGATGGCTACTTACAAATATATGAAATATCTCCAAAGGTGCAAAAAGAATTAGAGGATGTGAATATAATACTAATACTGAAAGAAATATAAAAGGGCATCTGACACCAGTGAAGGAAATCTTCTGACTTTCCAAGAACCAATAATTAAATCAGTAATAAAAAACTTAAAACCATAGAAAATTAAGACATATTAATTATTCATAAAATGGATAGAGTAATAATATCTGCTTAAAGGGATTGTTGTGAGAATTAAATGAGAAGACACCCATAATGTATGTAGAACAGTGCATTGCTCATAGTAAGCATCCAGATAACTTGACTATGATTACTACTGTTAATATTGTTCAATTGATTTTTAGAGGCAAATATG